TAAAATTATTTCTTTTTCATTAGACAAATTATCTCCATTTGTTTTGATATAATTGAATATGTGCGTGTATTTTATCATAAGTTGTATCCTCTGTTTTGGTATCGACACGCTGCCAGCTGATCACTGAGTCCTTCTCTGTCATAAAGAGGAAATCATATATTCAAGGATAATTCATCACTTTGGTTCCTTAAATTCAATCTTTTTGTATTTTAATATTGGATACTGATTTTCTCTCCTTTATCTTTACTTCAGGTTTGTTGCCATCATGTCCAAAAGTCATCCTATCACTTGCTCCTTCAATAAAAATTCATTGGAAATTACAGTTAACTACTTGGAAGAACATATCAAATATTTACAAAGATATTTATGCAGGTCAAAACAAAACAATCTTCTCTTAAAACAACAGTTGGAAGTGGTTATAAAGAAAATAATTATTCTTAAAGAAGAATGTACCAATCACTTGGCTGTAAGTCAAACTTGATTAGGTATAATTGATATTCTCAGATGTCATATTGCTGAACTTGAATCCAGAAACAAAGAATTGAAAAGAAAACTTCTCCATTGTCAAAGAATTTCAAGTCCTAGCTCAAATTCTTGGGCTCATATGGATAGTCCTTGGGCAAAATATTATTGTCCTCCATACGATAGGGATGGTATGCTTATTGAATATGAGTATAAACTTAATCCAAATTGGATGCGATTAAATCCTGGAAGGAATCCTGGTCCTTGTCTTCTCAATTATCAAGAAGAACAAGAAAGAAAAAACAATAACAACAACAACAACAACAATAATAATAATAATAATGTGTAAGAATTTCATTTTTTTCAATAAAGAATTTTGTGTTTTGTATAAAACAGTTGCTACTGATAAGAAATGACATACTGGAGCTAGGGTTCTGGCCAGTGGCAAATAATTGGAGCTAGGGTTTTGACCAATTATTTTGCTGTCATATTTGATTTTTTTGTTTATTAGGTTGTTTCAAGGATTCAATGAAACTTGTATTTAGGCTTATACAAGTGGAGAACTGGATTACCAAAATATCTGCATTTATACTGCATAACCTGGGTGCTGAATCTTTCAGTAGCTAAAGGATACCTCAAGGTTTTAAAATTTTTACACAAAAATGTAATAATTATAATAATAATAAAGTAATAAAATTTTAATATAATTTAAAACAAATGTTTACCTAAATAAATAAATTGGAAAAATATATTAATCGCTTTGATAATTTCATAAAATGCTATAGCCTCAAACACCTATAGGTATAACTTCATGCTAATAGAATGTGGGGTGATTAAAGGAATGATAAGGAATGACAAAGGAATTAGAAAAGATAAGAGATAATAAAAAGGTAAAGTTTCACTTCATGCTTGGTCACGTGATTTGCGAAAAATAATATCAATAAAGGTGAATGTGATTTCTAGTTCTGCTTAGCATACATTGTTGTCATTATGATAGTTAACTTTATTTTCTTCTTTTTTTCTATATGTAGAGTCTTTTTCATGCTTGACTTGATTATGGTGTAATCGTTGCCCAGGTCTCGCATCTGCAGATTACTTCTCTGCGATCGAATTTATCATAGATCCCATCAGGTATGTATCATCATCCGAGATTTTTGCAGTTGTTACCATTAACACACTTTTTTTTTTCTTTAGGTTCTTTTTTTTGGGGGGAAATATGATCTTGATCATGGTTATAGTCAAGATTGTAATATTGTCATGGCGATTGGATGGTATCTCATCAGAGGTAGGTTGTTTTATTTATCCTGTTGGGTTTTGTCATTTGTTCACTGAATATGATAGTTTGCTATGTCTTAAGTTGATGTAGCAAGAAATATTCTTTCCTTTAGTCACTAAAAGGTTACTGCTAAGCTTTTTTTTTTTTTAATCTTTTTTTGGACGGCAGGTTCATCACGATCTAAGGATCATAATCTACAGTACTCCAGGGTTTTATTGGGACTGGGGGTACGTGTATATACTCATTTTTTTCTTGTTCACATAATTCTTCTAAATTATTTTTAGGTTTTGTAGGGCTTTTTCCTTCATGCAGCGTTGTGATCTCCGGGGCCATGATCATGATCGTGACTATGATCATAATTATGATGGTATCCTGCTGCTTAATGTCAGGACTGTTATATCAGTAAGCCCTTGTGTCTTATTTTTCCCTTTCTTTCTCTTCTCTTTTCCTAGGATTTTCCAGGAACATGAACATGATCGTGATTGTAATCATGATTGCAATGTTGCCATAACCATCAGGGCTATTGTCCACTGATGAGTTTTAATTTCTGTTTGTAGGTACAGGGCGTCATCATCGTTCTCAAGTCTTCCCTGTACGTATGATTGTAGTTCTGATCATGATTATGATGGCATTTCAATACGATAATTTTTCGGGGTGGCAAGGATAATCGAAATTGTGATGAAAGTTGTAACAACATCACGATCATTGGGGTGGCACTTTCGCAAGGTGAGTTAGTTTTTTTTTTTCTAGAACTCTTTTACTAACTCATTTTTGTCTCTCTTTGTCATTGTCAGGGCCTTTGTGTAGTCATAACGGTCTTCTCTTTTCTTTTGTCGGTAATTATAATAGTATCCTGGTATGGTCATTGGGCACGGTGTCTTAGGATGGATGCTTCCTTTCACAGGCTCAACATCTCTTGGGATGGGCAGGTAAGTGTCTCTTCGTTCCTTGTTTCGTTTGGATGGTTTGTATTTCGCCAACCCATTCTTGCATCTTCTTTTTCTTTTCTCGTCATCGTCGGAGCCTTCTTCGTGGTCAGTAGTAGAGATCTTGATCCAGTATATTCTATCATTGGGGTGGTGCTTTCTTTTGTCGGTTATGGGGTAGTCCAGGTACGTTCGCGACACTTCTTTGTTCTCTTTGTGACATTATCCCTTGGCTCTTGAATCCTACTTACCATTCTTCTTCCATAGCTCTCACTCTCGATGTCCAATTCACCGTCTGCGAGTTTTTCTTGACCCTAGGTGATTAACATCCCTGGCCCTGGCTACTGAATTCTCTCAGGTAAGTTTTTCTTCTTTTTGCCTCCAGTTTCTTGCCGTATTGTTTCTTATGGACGGACCTTCTCTTTAGGAACTCATCTGCAGTTTCTTGTGACATCACGACATTTCTTCATAATCGTCGGCATCCCGGTGTACTCATTGGGACCAATGTCACTCCACAGGTAAGATGTCATTTTCTCTTTATTTTTTGTGGATAACTGAAATTAACTAGTGTCATTCTTTTTTTTTTTCAAGAAGAGGGAAGAGGTTCTTTGTTGCTGCTCTCAGTTTCGCATCATGGTGCCGAATTCCACCATGAATGCTCGTCAGTGTTCCATTATGTTTGTCGAGGCTAACGTCTCAAGAAAGGTAAGTACCTTAACAGGCTCTCTTTCTTTCTTCTAGGCAACCATTATTAGCTGATTGTTGCCTTTAATCTTTCTTTTTTTCTCTAGCTGATTTTTCGTAGTGGCATAACGTTGCTTCTCAAGCATATGGCAATCCATCTTTGGCTTTGTGCATGGCATTTGGTACATTAGGAAAGGTAAGTTTTTTTTAAGGCAGGCTAAAGGAAAAGTTTCTTTGGTAGTGGGAAATGGGTTGGTATAAGGAGGAAAAACGAAAAATATCATTAACAATTTTTCCTAGTTTTTAAATTGCCATTACTCCTTTGGTGATTCCGAACATACAGCACACTGTTTCTGACCTTATATGTTTTCGCAAAGCTCAGTGTAGTTGGTAATAAGTATTTTATGAGTTTGTGGATAGGCTTCTCCTGGTTTCTTTTTTTCTTGGGGCAGTGTGGTTATGGTATAGGAGTATCATAGCAATGTCATTAATTTTTTCTTTTTCTTACTATAAACTGTTGATCCCATATAACAATCATTTTTGTCTTCATTGCTCTTCTTCTTGGAGCTATTTTGTCGCTCCCTTTGTCGGTCGGGTCTTTTTTTTGGGTGGGGACGATGCTTCTTTTTTCACTTGATGTATACTAACCGTCAAATTTCTTCCAGGCATCATCGTTGGGGTATAATTGGTCATCATTTCTTCAGTCTCGTGAGGAGGGTAATTAGCGAAAGTTTTGTTTTCGACGAATTGCAGAAATCGTCGAGTCGCAATCTCACAGTCACCACCAATTTGTTATATATCATTTCTATCTCAGGAGAAAGATAAAGATAGAGAACTAGTAGCAGGGAGGCACTTTAGATGGACAGGGCCAATGTGATATGCTATAGTTTCTAAAGACGTACAAATTAGTACAATTCTAAGGTGTATGAGGTCAAGCAAAAGAGTCAATGGTGATTTGTTTTTCAAAGGTCAAGTTATTTATTTAATAAAATATATGTTCAAGTCTATCAATTTCTAGGCAAAATTGGAGCCTTTATATATATGTTTGAGTTATAATATTTTTGTACATGATAAATATATGTTATGGTAAAAATATAAGCTAATATATAGATACTATCTTTGTCAGAATATCTAACTGTATTAGTATTTACATAGGTAAATACTTTGGTGAAGATAATATAAAAGGTAAAGATAAAATAAAATAGAAATATTCTAGAAATAGTAAAAGTGCAATAGATACAATAGATACCAAAAGTGAAGTAACAGAGTTGTAATACAAGACTATTCTAGAATAACTAATATTTCAATGGTCAATGCTAGTAAAAATCGGGCAAGGGGTAGTAAAGATTTTGGGCAAAAATCAAGTGTAACAATATATACAGTATATTAAATTGATTGAATCAAATAGAATCGAATAGAATTGAATTGAATAAAATCGAATCGAATTGAATCTAATCGAATAGAATTGAATAGAATCAAATCAAATCGAATTAAAATTTTATTCAATTTTTTAAATAAAAGAATCAAATCGAATTGAATCGAATTGAATCATTTAAATTCGATTCTAAATAGAATCGTTCAGATCCTTAGTTCCTAATAAACCTGAATTTGTATATGTACTGTTATTAGGTTCACTATAGATCCAGGCAAATATGTCAGAAATAAATTTTCCCAATCATATTCTCACACTGCTTGATGGAACTGATATATTATTGAATATTTCACAAGAGTTTCTGTCACCAAAACAAATATCCATACCAGTAAAAGAATATTATAAGATGGTGAAATATTATATAACAGCATTGGATATAAATAATAATGAAATATATCTTAAGGAATACTTCCTCTATGGGTTGTTTCATAATAACCAGTTAGAAGCCAGAAGATATGAAACGGACCTGTCATTAGATGAGCTAGTTGCAAAGTTAAGTGTGATTGAAAATAACAAAAAAAATAAATAATATTTGCTTTTAAAAATTAATTAGAATTATATCTCAATATTTTATGCTATATGTTCTTCGACTAAAAATTCTATCTCTGGTTTAAGTTTTACATTCATAGCTCTTTTTTCTGCATCTATATGAGGAATATTTCTATTAATCATATCTTTATATGCATTAATTCTCCAATGACCATATGGCAAGCTCGAGATTTTATCAGATAATACCCATCTTTTATCATTAATAGGAGCCATTGCTGTTTTTTCTAATTCTACTACAGATAATATATGATTTTTAGAACGGATACCAATATTCTTAACTTTATATGAAATATCATTAAAGAGACATGACCAATATAGGTAAATCATAGGATCATTAATTTCATTTATAGGGTGAAAGAGTAAAGGGTCATTTATTTTTTGCTTAAACTTATTATCTGTCATTTTTTTCATTCCCATTTTACTTACTCCTTTATATTTTGATTTTGAAGAATTATCAGCAAGTACATAGTGATAAAGTTTTGCTCGAATATAAAATGATTCCTTGATAATATTATTAGAACATTTATCTTTAAAAAGACCAATGATTTTAGAATTATTAAAATCAAATATATCCAGTCTTTTTGTCATATTCTTATAAATATCTTCTGTTTCAATTAATATAATAAATGAATTTGTATTCATATATTCAAGTTTGGCTTTATCGCTATATTTTGCTTTTATATAACTATACCAAAATTGATACATAAGTCACTTGCTAAGATCAAAAACAGCTCCATCAACAATAATAGGTTTATTGAGTATTACAGATTGTTTATCCAAGTTTATACCTACCAAATTTTCTGATAATTTACGAGCATATTGAAATAATGGTTTATTATATTTTTTAAGAACTTTTCTTCATCTTTTTCATTACAAGTTGGTAATATTTTTACATCTAAGTAATTACGAACATTTTCTATAGTTTACCATAAATAGAATTATTTATAAGTTTAAAGAAATTCTTTTTAAAACTATTTTTAGCATTTTGTTGTAATTTTGTATTGAGCTTAATATAAGAAGCTAGCCAAGTAGATTGATTAAAAGATAATACTTCATAAATTTCATCTACAATTATTCCAAGTTTTATATAATATTGAAGCTTTCGATAATGAATCACATAATTATCTCGAATACTCAAGTAAGGAACTAATTTTTCAGTTGCTGTATATTGTTTTCTATTTATTTTTTCCAATTGTTCTTTATTATATGGACTAAGTCAATCTCGTTTTACAGCAATAGAATCTATTGCAGAAGGTAAGTCTCTAAGATATTTATGTGTTTTTATAGAAAAATGAGTCTTAATATTTACATAATATCCTCTTGAAATATCTTCTTTTTTCTTGATAATCATATTAAGATATTTCTTTTGTAAAGCTTTATTACCTCTAAAATGACCATGTCTTCCTTCCCATATATAATTTCCAATAGATAGATATTGACTTATAGCCAACCATATAAATTATTTGCATTGACATATGAAATCCATGTAGTTGGTTTAAAAGAATCATAATCATTCCATATTTTAGGATTATTTGCTTTTAAATATCATTCCACAGCCATAGCAATACCACCTCTTTTAGTTTTTTCAATAAAATCATGCATACTAATATCTGTAAAAAATTCAATCTCAATTTCTGTATATTTTAATATTACGTCCTATAATAATGCTGGAGCTGATATATAATGACTAGAATTTAGTTTATAATATTTTATTAATGTTTCTCAGAATTTGATCCATATATCTGCTAAAAGAAGTATATCAGTATTGAGATATAAATCGTGATATTCACCTAAATTATTACATCCAAATTCATTCCAAATTATTTGTGCACGATTATAATCTTCTTGCAATATTTTATCACTGATTTTATCATAAAATACTTTGATAGATGATAATTCTGTTTCAAGAAATCTAGCTGGTGAATCAATATATTCATAAGGATAAACTCCTTTAACACATAACATTGCAATTTGTTTTTCTATATATTGTTTTAAATAATGTTATTTGATTATTTTATAGTTTTCAAGTAATTCTATACATCGATCTTTATTTATTCTATATAAATGCTCATATTTTATATTTTTATATTTTACAACACCCAAATTTTCTGCAAGATTTGATAAGCTTGTATTCATAAATTGCATTGAATCAATATATCTGAATTGACCAACTCGAATAGATTTATATTTTTTAAAAGTTTCCGCAATAATTTTATTTAATATGCTTTAGCTAATTTAGATAATAATTGGGCTACAAGCTAGGAGTCATATTCTCTAAAGTAATTGATGTTTTTCCAGCTTCTATTTGTAAATCTAAATTATATTTACTATGGGATGTACCACGATAATTACTGGAAATATGGCAATGATTTCAAACTTTATCATTTTCTAAAGGTTTATCACAAATCGAACAATTTGTAACATTATCAAATTTTTTGCAATATTTATCAGTTACAATTCTATCTATCTTAATTGCTAAAATATCATTAATTCGTTTATATTCCATATTTATTTGGTTTACAAATTCTTCTGTAGCATTAGATCTATGATATAAAAAGAATTCCTAAATATCTCCAATATCAATCCAATGAACTGAATAACTAAAACTATTGGCAGGTTGTTCTGCTATTTTTTGCATATTCCTACCATAACTCTCATCTTTATTTATATTAAATCCTTCAAAATCGGCAAATATAACACATGGAGCATTTATCATTCTTTTAAAATTTGTAAATTTCTCAATATTTTCTTTGCCATCATTTTTTGGTATTGTAATTACTTGAGAAGATTCTCCTAATCCATAATAATGATTTCTATAATAATCTCTTCTACTTTTTGTATTAAAACTTAGAAAACATTTATTATAGAGATGTCTTTTTGTAATATGTGTTGTATCATTAAAAGTTAATTTATCTTTATCTTTAATTCATAAGAAATATGTTCTGGTTTCATATTTGCTTTCTTTATCTATGCCTTGGCATGAGCTCTGCTCTACATTTTTTATTAGATTGTAATTGGAATAAGCTATTTCTTCAGTTTCAGATAATGCCATAAGATGAATAATCTTATGTTCTTTATGACATTCATTTGGTCTAGGATACTTATACCCTGCAATTGTACAAGAATTTGAAATATAGAAATTCTTACTATGGATTAATGGTTTTGGTCGACCTTCTTTTTCTTTCCATCTCTATACATTAATAGATAATATAGGATTTTGTTTTTCGATTTTTTCAAATATTCTAGGGCATATTGGAGTTGGTGTTCGAATTCCGTTCAAATTAACAATATTCAAGTATTTTTTATATTCTTTTGCAGTAAATATATAAGAAAAATTCTTATTATATCCATCTTTATTGACAAAATAACAAGCTAATGCTCCTTGAAGGCAATTATCAGATTGCTTGCCTGTAATTGGATTAATTATATTTGAATTATCGGGATTAATTGTAGCTTTCTTTAATGCTAAATTTGGTGATGTTGGTATATATAATTCTCCAACTGCTCTTCGATAAGTATATGCTTCAATAGTTAATATTTCAATTCTTACTAAATTCCAGCCAGATCCTGATTTCATAAATGTATCGATTTCATTATCTATTTCTGCTATTGTAAAATCTATATGTTCATCAATATCATTTTTTGAAAGAATAATGCACATTCCACTTCTATAATAATGATGTATAGTTTTTGGTAATTTTAAAGTATCATTACCTTTTCGAATATAGTCAAAATAAATACATTCTGCTACTATAGCTGTTTTAATTTGATCTTTTCTACGAAACTCAGTCTTAAGTAAATTTGTAATTTGATCTCGTGCATTTGAGATAAGTTAAGGCATATATGGCATTTCCAAATATTTATTAGGATTATTGATATAATGATTAAAACTATATTTTTTTTAAAACTCTCTCCTGATCGCGTCCGTTTTGTTAAAAATTCCTTTTATGGTAATTTTAAGCAAGAAAAAATGTTTTACACTCTTTATCGCAAGTGAGCCCCAGCTCAAGAACTCA